AAAAATATTAAAAAATAAGAAGTTTTTTACTTTTTCTGTGTTTGTATTATTTACGGTCAAATTAGCATTAGAGTAGTCTTGCCCACTTTTATTTATTATCATAAGTTTTGTTTTGTGGATGTTAATGTCTAGTCCAAATTGTTTGCTATGCCTTTCCACTTTGTCCAGTATTCTTTGCAGGTCTGCTAAATTGTTTGTGATCAGGGTTGTGTCGTCAGCGTATCGAATATTATTGAAACACGAGTCGTTTATTGTTATGCCAGTCTCGTCATGTAGAGCATCTTCGAAAATCCTATTGGAATAAATGTTGAAAAGGAGCGGCGACAAAATGCAACCTTGCCTAACTCCCCTGTTTATTCTAATTTCTTGTTTTATTGTCCCCGAATTGGACTTCTGCCGTTTGTCTCCAGTATAAATTTCGAATGCATTGAATGTCATATTTGTTTATGTCTATCGATTCTAGTGTGTCTATTAGTGTGCGGTGCTGGACTCTGTCAAAGGCCTTTTCGTAGTCGATAAAACATAAGAACGCGTCTTGGTTGGCGTCTTGGCATCTCTGGACAAGCATTTGTACACTGAACAGCGCTTCTCTTGTTCCCATGCCTTCCTTAAACCCGAATTGCGTCGCTCCCATTACCTTCTAGCATTTGTTATATATCCATCTATGCATAATTTTTAAAAATATCTTTAACGTGTGGCTCATTAAACTAATGAGCCGGTAGTCTTCACATAGCTTTGCGTTTGCTTTCTTCGGAAGCATCACGAAGGTCGATTTAAGCCATGAGAGGGGATATTCTCCAGTTATGTAGTTAAAAGTTTTTAGTAATACATTCATACCTTCGCCGTCAACTAGCTTTATTATCTCCGCTGGTATTTCGTCAAATCCCACCGCTTTTTTCTTTTTTGACGACTTTATTGCATTGGTTATCTCTGACTTTGTTATTTCCAAAAATATTTCGTCTGTTACGCCCCTAGCTGGTATATTGTCTTCCCTCGAATCGTCCTTGAAGAGTTCGTTCACATATTCCGTCCATAGTTGATTTTTTCCTGCTTCGTCGATTATTAATTTATTACCTTTATCTGTTAAAATAATTATGCTATTACGTTTTTTTGTGTTACGAAATTCTTTCAGTTTTTTGTGTAGGTTGAAGTTATCATGTACATAGTTTTTCTAAGCGCTCTATATCTTCACATTGTTTTTTCGTCCACATATTTTGCTCGTTTTTTCCATCTTATTTCTTTGTTGACCTTTTTGTATTCATCAATATTGTTGTTGCGGTATTTTCGTCTTTCGTCCATCATCTTTAATATTTCATTATTCATCCACTTTTCTTTTACCATTTGTACTTTTGTCCCCAGTATTCGGTTCGTTATAGTTTTTATATTTTCTACAGCTTTATTCCAGTTGTCTATTGGATTTTCATCGCTATTTCGTGATGTGAGTATATGGTTTATATTTCGCTTAAGCTCCTATTTTATTTTTACATTGTCAAAATTTTCCAGATTAAGCTTAGCTTTTTTAGTCTTTTCTGTTTAATTTGATGCGAGCCTTATTCTAATTTTTGCCATTAGCAAGTTATGGTCCGATGGCACGCCTGCGCCATTAAATTATCTAATTCTCTTAATTAAAGTTGAATTAAGTTTTTGAAGACAGTGACAACTCTCCCACATGTAGTTTAAAATAGAGTTTTTTCAAAGCCATTTGATTGATATTCATATTGTAGTAACTCATTTTACCTATTTTATATATTGAATTTATCTTTGTATATAGGTGGCAACCCTCCTACATATAATGAAGAAATAAAGCCTTTTCAAAACCATTTTGTTCGATACCCATACTGTAATAATTGATTTAATTATTTGGTTAATCAATTATTCGGTTAATCAATTACTCGAGTAATCAAGCTTTTGATTACTCAAAACGATGATTAATCGAGTTACTTGAAATATGATTACTCAAAAAAATAATTTTGCTCGTTAATAGAGTTTGCTTTGGAAAATGCTTATTTTCTTTTTTACATTCGGTATATAAAAGAAATTTTTCGTTTTAATTTTTGAAAACAGAAACGTTGTTTTCAACGTATCAAGGAACTTTAACTACTTTATACATAGTATGTAAAGAGTTGAAATGCTGATTACTCATTTTACTCGAAATGTTGATTAATCATAAAGCATTTTACTCAAATATTTTTGTTTTTGGTTAATCAAAAATCTTGATTACTCGAGTAACTGAACTTTTGAGTAATCATAATTTCCAATTAATCGAATAATTGAGTTAAATACTTTATGGTTAATTAAAATTTTGAGTAATCAATTAATCGCACAGCCCTAATGTACATTAAAGTGGTCCAAAAATGTATGTAAAAAAAATAAGGTCGCATTTTTAATGCCGCCAGCCAGGATTGTTCTATGCTAAAAAAAATTATACCCCTATTTTTTTATTTTGAAATAAAAAAAAATTAGGGTGTGCTCAAAGCGCGCAAAGTTTTCAATGTATTTTATATGGGGAAAAAACAACTTTTCGTAGAAATAGTATAGAATTCTTGAAAATCAATATTTTTCGATCGGAAAACTTTGCTTATCTTCAGGAGATTCCCGGTAATAATACCCAATTGTTCCTTTAACAATTTTTTCATGGTGACTATATTTTATGGGTCCTTGAAAATGCAATGGGGGGGCCAATAAAAAATTTTTAATCATAAAAAATGGTTAAATAAACAATTGGATATCAATATTTGAAGTCTCCTGAAGAAAACCACAGTTTTACGATTGAAAAACATTGATTTTCAAGAGTTGTATGCCATTTTTACGAAAATTTGTTTTTTCCCCATATAAAATACATGGAAAACTTTGAGCGCTGTGAGCACTCCCTAAATATTTTTTGATTTCAAAATAAAAAAATAGGGGTATATTTATTTTCGTTTCAGAACAATCCTAGGGGGTGGCGGCATTAAAATTCCGACTTTATTATTTTGGACCACTCTAATGTACATATGTATGTATATATATAGGGATGTACAATGTATATAAGTAGATACATACATATGTAGGTAGGTACAAAATATGCTGCGATCAGCCTATACATATTTCCCCTCACCTGCGCAATCTGGTTTTGCTCTCCTTTTGTCACTGCCTGCACCCTAACTGTTTTTACAACGTCCGTAAACCTAGCTGACCCAAGTCCCCAAAAATCAATAAAAATTGTCTAGGAATTAGGTGTATTTCAGGTGTTAACTAGGGCCTCCAAAATTAATTTAGGTGTTTTATTGGTGTCCGAGAAATTCGCAAAAATTTGTGTTTTAATTTTGGTTTTAAATTTTCCAAACATTTGCTGGAATTAGGTGTCTTTTAGGTGTTCTTCAACGCCACTAAAACTAATTTAGTAGCTCCATTGGTTTCCGAGAAATTCGCAAAAATGTGTGGGTTAATTTTGGAGGCCCTAATTAACACCTAAAATACACCTAATTCCTAGATATTTGTTATTAATTTTTGGCGACTTGAGTCAGCTTGGTTTACGGACGTTCCGTATGCCGTGATGTTCGCTAACTTCAACGATTACAATGAAATGATGTTTGAACAACGTGTCGCATAGGTGTATACTGAACTGACATGCGACCAAGCAAGCATACGTTTGATTGTGTATATTTTGCTTTACAACCAAATTCATAAAAAATAAGAAGACTTTACCCGAGCGCACTTGTGCACAAGGGTATTATAACTTTGTTCACATAACCGTTGTTTGTATCAGCCAAACGAATCGAAATAGATATAGACAAATGTCTACATATATGATCAGAACGAAAAGAGAAATCGATTAAGCGGTGACTGTCTGTCCGTCCGTCCGTCTGTGCACACGATAACTCGAGTAAAAATTGAGATATCTTAACGAAACTTGGTACGTGCACTTCTTTCGGGCGTAGGATGGTATTGAAAATGGGCAAAATCGGACAATAACCACGCCTACTTCCCATATAACGGTAATTTTCAGAAATACGAAAACTGCGGTATTTTAGTAACTACTGAAGATTATTCACTCATAATTGATATTTACAATAATTTTCAGACGGAGCCACGCCCACTTATGGTTACATCTGTATATCTTCGTAACCGCTCCACCAATTTCTTCCAAACTTGGCACAGTTGTTGGCCTTGGTACAACACACCAAATGACCGAAAATTAAAAAATTCGGACAATAACCACGCCCACATCCCATATAACGGTAATTTAGGAAATACGAAATATTCGATAAATCAGTAAATATTAAAGTTAATTTATTCAAAATTGATGCTTGCAACAATTATTTACCAATAAATACATTTGTGATAAAATTTTGGAAAATTGGCGTGGCACCGCCCACTTATGATCACATATATGTAACTCTGTAACCGTTGTACCAATTTGTACCAAACTCGGTACGGTTATTGTGCTTGCCACATAAAAGCAAAACGTTGAAAATTATTGAAATCGGACTAAAATTACGGCCGCATTTCATATAACGGTAAATTTCAGAAATGCTTGAAACTTCAATACTTCGAAATTTAAGGACGCTAATTTACTCAAAATTGATACTAAAAACAATCTCTTGAAAAGAAGTAACATTGTTTGGAATTTTGGAGAATGGGCGTGATATCGCTCACATATGTAAGTTTATTTCATTATGTCTAACTGAACGGTCTACCGAAGATGTTTAAAATCGGGGTAAAACCACCCTGGCTTACCATGTAGCTGTAGTTTTCGGAAAGGTGGAAAATATATATTTAATACTTGCGCCGGGTATTTAGTGTTCGGTCTGCCCGAACTTAGACTTTCTTACTTGTTTATCAATAAGGTTATTACAATGCAAGTGAATTCGGTTTTATTAAGATTTATAAATGCATTTCTAATAGAGTAGCATTTCTTTTGTTTCATTCTCATATAAAGAACGAAGAAAACGCTTTCTTCGCTTTTCCAAAAGGATTTTGCAATTTGGATTAAATAAACATAATTTCTTTTCTTTCAGACACAAAAATGCTGCTATAGTGCAACAAACCTATGCAAAAACTAGTGGATTGTCCCCTAGAATACCGAAAACAATTTATTTCGGATTAACCATAAATCAACTGTGCTTTTCGTTAAAGTCAATCGTGTTTAGAAGAGGTTTTGTTTCATGTATGGTTGTGGTTCTTATAAAACTAATAATCCTTCCTCTTATTGCAAGGGACCAACTAGCGAAAGTTCAAAGTGAAAAAAAAAATAAATTATATATTTATTAAATAAATTGCAAGTGGAAAATAGTGTTAATCGGGCTGGTGTATTACAGTTTTTTAAAAAATCCATAATTGTTTTTGTCGCAACTTATGCGAAAATATTCGTCATGTTCAAGTGCATTCCAATATTCAAGGGCTGTAATCGCCAAGTTGAATTTGTTGATAAGCGACATTGTTCGCTGCCGAGTGTTCCAGAAGAAATTCTACGTTATTCACGTACACTGGAGGAGCTATTCTTAGATGCGAATCATATTCGGGACTTGCCAAAGGTAAGCGAAAGTACAGTTCTTTAATTAATTGATTGCAAGGTAGTTTTTTAATGATGTATTACAGAACGATTTTCACTATACCTTGTCAAATGTGGTTTGGAGACACTGAAGATAGCACAACGCCAAACCAAATTTAACAAGGCATGTCGGAAATTCGTACACTATACTCCTATCCTGACGGAAACACCTACACACATACATCCTACGTTTCGGTATGGCCTACTCAAATGTTGTAGATGTAATTTTAAGAGCTTCACACAAGCACTTATTGCACGAGAAGTAACGAAGTGATTTCAAAGAAAAATAATTCAAAGAAAAAATCCGAAATTTTTTTGAAATGAACAGTTCGTTTTCTGTCGTAGAAAGCGTTAATATTTTTCTTATTCTTAGCTCAATTTTGAGACGTTAAAGTGATCTGGTATCTTACATTTTGCAGAAATTGCGAAATATAAGTTCTTTAGAGCAATAGAAACATTCGGTTGCGAGGAACAACTTTCCGCAAAAATACTGTGGTCAGCGTAGCTGGTATTCGACTTACGAGGGCTATTTTTTGATGAAAAAATTATTTAATATGTATAAATATAATATAAATTTTCCGAGCATTTTAAGACAAAAAATTGCTGAAAAAACTAGATGATTTTTTGAATTACGAAAGTGCTCGAAACCTGTTCGAATAATTTTGTTTTTGTTATATTATATCAAAAATTCTAGTTATTTCCTTTCGTTTGATTTATTGAAAGTATTGGTTGTAATCTTTAAGTATGTTTATTTGTTTAAGATATATGGGGATACATGATTTTTCATACAAAATAACTTTGTCATCATTTTGCAAAAAAAAAAATGTATACGCAAGAACAACGTCTAATGTATTTTACGTGGGTAACTGCCGACGACCGCTGAACCTCACGGTGCCTACAAACAGCGGATAAAAAATGAGTTGCTGAGCGCTCTGGAATGCAAGCATCTCGGTGCCAATCGGCAGTACGGAATAGACACACTAACGACCTTGGTTGTTTTCGAGGCTTGTCTCAACCTCTGCTGTACTTTGGGTGTGGCACCCGGTTTCAATGCAACTCCACATCGAGCCAACGAATTTCCACTCTCCCAGCATTTAGGTTTAAACCACAATCACCGCGATACCCCCCGAAAGGCCCTACCCGAGAGCAGGCCAGCATAAACTCTGGGGGACCCTGTTGCCCGGTCAGACCTCGTAGCTGAAATTACTACTACACTGAAGGGAAAAAATATTAAAATCAATCAGAAACGTAATTGATCTTACTATTAACGTCAACGAAAGTACCGTATATTGACAAATATTCAATTCAATTACGCGCATATTAAAATGACCACGTTCGTTACATCCGTAAAGTGAATAATCAAGATAAAAATAAAAAAAAAATATTTAATTTGCTGTTGCCTGCAGCGGAATTCGAACCCTTACTCTTCTCTGCAGGGTTCAGAAAAATTCGTTTTCAAATGATTAAAACTAATTTATTTCATTTGTATTTGCGATCTGTGAACGAATTTTATAACAACCAAGGTGTATTAAACAAGGTGTGATTGACAACTCAGGTAGGCTCTCTTTTAAGCTACTATTATGCCAAAAAATATAAACAATCGATTTAAAATTCATACAAAATTTTTTCAACTTGACTTTATAGGATGGTTCTTCTGAGAGCAATGTCAAATTCAATCACACTTTGTTTAATACATTTTGATAACAACCATTTGTTTTCGTTGCCTGGCGACGATTGTTTTCGTTTTTTGCATGATTCAATAATACAAGGTTGTGTAATTTGTGACAGCTAAAATTTGACACTCCTTTATCTAGATTTGTATTTTGGAAGTAGGAGAAAGGGGAAGAATGTGATTGCCCTTTGCGAAAACTGTATTAGAAAGGTACTACAAAAAGTACGCAAAGTATACAATTAGAAGTAAAATGTGTATTATTAATTCTATGCGAATTCGCAATATATTTGGTGTTTTAATTGAAATACATCAATCATACATAAAAATCAATACATAAAAATATGCAATTTTGATTTAAGTTATTCGTCATTTCCGGGAACAAATCTAGAATACCGACCGTTTAGCTATGCAAAAACGAAAAATGCAGATCAATAGAACTTTTTATGCTCATTTCAACCATGATTTGGCGCAAGTAAAAAATGAAGAGGTTCTAGAAGGTTAAAGTTCAGTTGTTAGATATTTTAAATATTAATATCTTATGAACTTAATAACCGATTAAAAAACTAATGACGTCACCATAAAGGTAATTAATTTGTTCTTCAGCTGATGTACATAATTTATAGCTTTTTGTATTTTTAAACCAAAACCACAAAAAAACGAACAAACGTTATTTTTTCATGAAATAACCTTTTTTGAAAAAACTGCATAATTAATGGTAAATAAATGTATATTATTTAGAAAGTACAAGTTATTATCTTTAATTCGATATTACATATTTTATTATGATCTAGTTTTGGGTTTCAACAATTTAGTGATAATAAAAAATACAAATAAACCTCTTATATCTTCTTTATTTTTCACCTGCGCCAAATAAATTTGGTATCGTTGAAATCAGCGTAAAAAGTTCTGTCAATCGGCATTTTTTGTTATTTTATAGCTAAACTGTCACCTCTCTGAACTTGGCAGGACAACTTTTTCTCAAAGCAAAAATTCCTATCGCATAATTTGCCGTTAATTATCCGTGAAAAGAATAATTTTGCCGCGGACATATTTATGTTTATCCAAGAAAAGAATTATCTTGCCGCGGAAACATTTTAAAAAATATCGCGTGCCCTGCTAACTTCCGTGGAAGTCTCTAGAAGCGTCTAGAATAGCGACAGTTTAACTTCTCTGAACTTGGCAGGAAATATTATTGAATCGATATTTTTTAAAATATGTCCGCGGCAAAATTATTCTTTCCACGGATAATTTACGGATAATTAACGGCAAATTATGCGATAGGAACTTTTGCTTTGAGAAAAAGTTGTCCTGCCAAGTTCAGAGAGGTGTCAGTTTAGCTATAAAATAACAAAAAATGCCGATTGACAGAACTTTTTACGCTGATTTCAACGATACCAAATTTATTTGGCGCAGGTGAAAAATAAAGAAGATATAAGAGGTTTATTTGTATTTTTTATTATCACTAAATTGTTGAAACCCAAAACTAGATCATAATAAAATATGTAATATCGAATT